AGTAAATAACATGGTTAGATTAATTTATGTCCATAGCCAAATAATAAGTAGTATCGTTAGGAATATTATTGGATTCTAAATATTTTTAATAGGCTTCATAACATGGAAGAAAAAAGCATGTTAGAATATTGTTTGATTGAATTAATCATCCTGAATTAAAACCTATATATTTGTAGTATGGATCGAGCTCGGATTGTTGAATAAACTAAAATTTAAAATGCAAGGTTAAAATAACTCGAAACACTTTTGGGAAAAATGTCAGAAGGGAATTTATTGTTGAGTCTTTTCCATATCTAAGATAAAAATAAAAATAATTTGCATAACAAGGAAATCGTCACCTAAATGAGCATTATATTTGCTAAGAATATTTAGCTGGAAATAAAATCATTGTCTGCATTGATTTCTTTTTTGGCAGCCTCCTGTCACTCATTAAGTATTTTTACAAAATAAGGATACAACCGAGAGTAACCTCTTTAATCTCGTCTTCTATACATCTATACAATATTTTTCTTAAAAGTTAAATTAATAGGCAAAGCTGTCTTACCTTTTACCTAGGTCCATTCTCGCTGTTTAGGAAAGGGTATACAGAAGATGGGAGCTTATATCACAAATGAATATTAAATATGCAAACTGTAGTACTTTTGCACATCCACGAAGGACGTTAAGTAATGTATTCAATTATTTTGGAATCTAAATATAGGGCGTCTAATATGATGATTAGCAGCAAAATTAAAGTAATAAGTTCTAATAGTGTCTACCTAGATCCATGCTGACGAGATCGTCAATCCCTCCACCCATCACATAGCTGAACCCTCGATAGACCTCTGTTGTGTTCTCAGGACACGAGATGCTCGAAGGATCCTGATGGTGTCTAGCGAAAAGGATGGGCGAGTAGACTGGCTCTGCTGCCTTTCCAACCGGTCCTACTTCACCGACAGGACCAGATTCACCCGGTTCCCCCTCCTTTCCTCCATCTCCTTCGTCTCCTTTAAAACCTTGAGGGCCCTGCTCACCTTGATCGCCTTGAACCTTGCCTGGCTGTCCCTTCTCTCCAACCTCTCCTTGCTCGCCAAGCTCCCCTGAATCTCCAGATTGGCCAGGTTCCCCAACGTCGCCCAGCTGGCCGATTTCGCCCTGATCCCCAATTTCGCCCATCCGGCCTTTCTCTTCTCGC